ACGGGGAGACAGGATGGAAGCCACCAGAGCAAACGTCTTGAAGTCGGTGGCGAAGGTCAGAGGGAAATGAGGATTTCTCCCAGTGAGGGTCCTTCCATACCTACAGGTGTGTCGGCCTATGGAGGTACTGGGGGTGGGGGCTTCCTCTTCCTACCACTAGTCTCACTCAGAATGTCCTTTCGATCCTGGTGTCCACAGTGTGTGCCAGACAGCAAGAGCTCACCAATCCCTTGTCGGGTGACTGCCAGGCTCACCTCACCTCACCTCGTTAGCTTTATTTCTCGATACTTCTAGAGGTCTCAGGCAGTTGTTTATAACTGTGCTTCCTTGGCTTCGTGGCTATCCTTGTGGAGCAGTCCTTTAGGTCACTACCAGCGCGCGTGTGCGCGTGCACGCGCACACACACACACACACACACACACACACACTGCTGCCAGGGCTTCATGACAGGAGAAGGAGAGGAGAGAGAGAGAGAGAGGAAAGAGAGGGAGGGAGATCCGCCGAGATATAACCAGGAATATGCTCAATTCTTAGAACAGAAATCAAATCAGGTACTTGGCTGAATTGACAGCTCAATTCATTACTCACTGAGGCCCCATTTAGAAACAGTTCTCAAGTCCCTGGGAGCCTCTGACCTTTTGAGTCGTGACTATTGATCTTTGATGCCTGTCTAAGCGCCCACCCAGAACCCCTATCGGCAGAAGCATTGACTTATCCCAGAACTAAACAGGCGGCAGGGAAGAGGTAGGAATTAAGAGCAAGGGTGCAAAGTGAAGGCTCTGCTAATCGATGTGCATGAGTAAGTGTGGACACAACAGGCTCTCAGTCCCCCCAGAGTCAGCCTGGCAAGCAGTTTGCCCAGGAGGGCAACACGTGGGCTGGGCTGGCTGCAAGCACCTCTCTCACAGTCACAGGCCAGGCTGTTCCCCTTCTCACCCATAAAACACCGGAGGGTGGGCTGCGGCAAAGGCCCAATCAGGGAAATGTATGCTTTGCAAGCCTGAGGACGTGAGGAGTGATGGTGACTACTTAGCATGAGGGATAGAGGAAACAAGAGGTCCACTCAGGCTCCCTGCTCAGCCGAGCAGGTTTATTTGGTGGGTTCCAAACCAGTGAGAGACCTTGGTGAGAAAAACAAGACAAACAAAAAACACTGCCAGTGAGATGGCTTTGTACGTGCTTGCTGCCAAACTTGATCCCGGGACCTATGTGAAGGAAGGAGAGACCCAGCTCCTTGCAAGTTGTCCTCTGACCTCCACATGCTTGCCTTAGAGCAGAGGTTCTCGAATTCCCTAACGCTGCAACCCTTTAATGCAGTTGCTCGTGTTCTGGTGACACTTCAGCCATAATACTATTTTGTTGCTGTGTCATAACTGTCATTGTGCTGCTGTTATGAATCGTAATGTAATAACTGATATGCGACCCCTCGTTGAGAACCACTGCCTTAGTGTAAGCACCCCCCACCCCATGTGTTTTTTTAAATAAAAGGTCATAAGAAGATAGATGACACCTGAGGTATGACCCGCTGAAGCCAGCATCACCTGAGGCTTAGCCAGAAGACTGCCTTTCAAGTCGTCAAAGGACAGAGTGAAGAAGATGCCAACCTCACGCCAGAGCACCCTCCTCCTGACCATTGTCACAGGCTAGGACAAACAGACTAAAGGACTCCCCCACAAACTGGGCTTGCACCTGGCTCCCTTCTGCCCAGAGGGATGAATTAGTGGAGAGGCTCAGGAAAGAGGTGACTGGGCCTTCCAGCTCTCAGCTTAAATAATGACCCAGATGTGTCTCTTGAAGAATCCACTGGTCACTTGAGTAGAAACTCTTAAACATTTAGACGCCAGATAGGTGGGGAGACCTGTCTAAAGAAACTATCTCCCCAGGGAAAAAAAAAATGCCAACATGTGAAATTCAAGATGAATAACAAGCATGCTGGGACATGTCTTTAATCTCAGCACCTGGGAGGTAGAGGAAGACACATCTCTGACTTTGAGGTCAGTGTGGTCTTACCTAGCAAGTTCCAGGCCAGGCCAGTCAGGGCTATATAATGAAAGCTTGTTTCAAAAAAAGAAAAAAGGTCATCAAAGCACAGAGTGAAAAGATGCCAACCTCAAGGATGCCAAAAGATGTTGGGCATGATAGTGGAACACCTTTAATCCTTGCACTCAAAAGGCAGAGGCAGAAAGATCTCTGTGGAGAGAGGACATTTTAAAAACTATTTCAGCTAGCTCCCACACACCCTATTTTTTTGAGATAAGGGCTTAGCCTAGGGTTGGCCATTAAACTTGCAATCTCCCTGACTCATCCCCAGCATGCTGAGATTACAGATGAGCCCTATGATGCCTGACTCGAAAGTCCACTTATTGATGAGTGGCAGATATTAACTGCTCGTTACACAAGAAGCCCTGTGCTTGTGCCAGGAGGTGACAAGTTACTTTCCTTTCTGAAGCCCAGAGCCAGGAAGGGGGCCTGTGTGGCTTTTCTGCTGCTGATTTCGACAAATCACAACTGGGTGGCTTAAAGCAACGGGGAAGGAGGCAAAAGATTTTACATGAAGGTATCAGCAGTACTGGTTTCTTCTGGAAGCTGAGGGAGAATCTGTTCTCTCTCCAAACTTCCTGGGGCTGAAGCAGTCCTTGGTAGAGACACATTCTTGTGTCTCCTTGGTAGCGACATGTCGCTGTGATCTCTGTCTCTATCCTTGTATTTACTGCCTCCGTGTCCTCTTTATTTCATTGTCCTGTTTTATTTTTGAGCACCATCCACCTGACCATTGTCACAGGCTCAGGGGGGTTCCATGTAGCCCAGGCTAGCCTTATCTCTTGAGCTTTATCTCAGACAGAGTTGAACCAGCCAGGCCAGTTGTGTTTTACTCAGTAGCTTGCATTAGACCAGGGCCTTCTTCAATGGAAACCAGTCACTGCATTTGCTTCCACCGTAAACCCTCTGTGTTCATATCAAGATCCTTCACGGCTCACATCCGTGAAGCCTCTGAGGTCCTGGGGTGTAGGGTAAAAGGTCCCAGCTCACTTCTAGTTTTGAAAAACCTACCAATCCCTGAACTTGAAAATCCACCAATCCTTGAGCCTGAAAACCCACGAATTCCACCAATCCCTAAACTCACCCTAAGCTCAGGACTTGAAAGCCCACCAATCTCCACTCTGGAAAAACTCCACCCACTGAGAAACCCTATGTAAAGCCTGACTGCGGTTCAGTTCTCTGCTCCATTTCACCCCAGCAGAGGCAGCCACCCAATACATCTCTAGTGTGAGGTTTGTTGTGCAGTGTGGTATTCCCTGACTCCTGACTGCCAGGACACCTTTCCCCTCAGAGCTGCAACATTACGCTGGATGGACATGAATTTGGAAAGGGGGTGGGGAGGTGCTATTTAACACAAGACATACGGTCAGTAAGGTGAGGCCCACCCTGGGAGGTGAGAGCTGAGGTCAGCTGCAAGACGGAGAAGTGGGAGGACGGGGGGAGAACAGTTCGCGAGGTGTATTATGGGGTTTGGGTTTTAAGCGCCTCTGAAAGGTTGGAAGCAGAAGAATAATCCAGAAAGTTCACCCTGGCTGAGATGAGTACGTTGGCTGGGCAAGGTAGTGTCAGATACGAGGGTCTTTATCTCAAGGGGGAAAGGTCCAAGTTCTGGGATGTATGACACAGAAACTCCTGGGGAGATTGCCAACTGTTGTCCCTAGCAGCTAGCACAAGCCATTCCCACTGAGCCAAATGTAGATGTCTTACAAAACACAGACAGGATTCATGTTGGCCAGCCATGCCCCTGCATCCAACTGGATCAACACTGGCCGGAAGGGGGTGAGGGCGACTCAAAGGAGTCTGCAAGCTCTGCCTCTTGTTCTCCATCCAGGAAAGGAGCTGGGATTCGAACAAGACTTTGTGAACGCTGCCTTCCAAGCACTACACCTGTCAGACACATACTTGCTCCCTTCTGTCATCCCTTATACACACTAGTTGTGTCTGTTCACAAATAATTGTGTGTGCTCAGTGGCTCTCGGGTTGCTCGCCCTAAGCCGTCCACTCCTTGAGCACCCAGGTAGATGTTTCACATCTTCCCTTCTGGACTCCAAACACTCCCAGTGTGAGCACGTGTGTAACTGGGTTGTCTACTTCCTGCTTAACGTGTCTCCCCTTTTGGAAGGTGAGTAAATTGGAGGCAAGAAGTTTTGTCTTGTATACCTCTAAATCCTCAACTCCTAACATACAGACATCTTACCAAGTGACTGGATGGATGGGTGAGTGGACATATGGACTGTTGGATGGATGACTGGCAAGTGGATGATTGGTAAAAGAGTACAGAGATGCATAGATGGATGAATGATTAGAGGATGGATGGATAATAATCAGGAGGATAGATGGATGAACAGATGACATATGGATGGAAGATAGGCAAATAAATATACTTATGGGTAGATACCTTTATAATACTATACTAGCTCCAAATACAGCAAATCAATAAAGTAATGAAATCAGCATGGACTTATTGATTGCTTATTAAAGTGCTTTGTTGGAGATGGAGTAATGGCTCATCAGATAAGAGTAGTTATTGCCCTTAAAGGGGACCTGGGTTCAATTTCCAGCACCCACATGGTGCCTTATAACCATCTATAATACCATCTCCTGGGGGTCCAACAGGCACACGTGCATACAGAACACATGCGTGCACTCAAGCAAAACACTCAGACATGTAAAGTAAAGCAAATAAATCTTTAAAAAAATGTTTAAGTATTTTACACGTTCTGCAACCCTAACAAAAACTGAAATGACAGCCAGGCAGTGGTGGTGCATGCTTTTGATACCAGCACTTGGGAGGCAGAAGCAGGCAGATCTCTGAGTTCGAGGCCTGCTTGGTCTACAGATTAAGTTCCAGAGCAGCCAGGGCTACACAGAGAAACCCTGTCTCAAAAAGCAAAAACAACAAACAGACAAATAGCTAGCTGGAATGACACAAAGCCTTGCTGGGTATTCTCAGCACTCACCTCATTCCTTCAGAAGCCATCTTGTCAAGATTAGTGGTGTCCTTTGTTTCTCCGCAGTTTGCTCCCAGATCACCCCATCCCATATCATCAGCCAAAATGATCACAATGTTTGGTTTGGGGGCTCCTGTTTTCCCATTGATAGAGAAATCCATGAGAGGGCACAGAAGTCCAGAGAAGGTCATGCCAACCAACAAAACCTTTAGAAAAAGCCAGCCCATGGTGGTACATGAAGACTCTGAGTAATAACCAGCCACCACCATGAATTTCTCTAAGAGTTTTCTCTTTGTTCACTTCAGTGCAGAAAGTCACCAAGGAGCAAGGGTCCCGTTGGCAAGATGACACTGATGTCAGTACATCAGGGATGGTAGGAGCTCTGGAAACAAGGTCCCCGTCTGGGATCCTAATCCAAGAGAGTCAGCAAATGTATCCCCCCTAAGTTGGCTTGGTCCCTGAAGATGTCTTCTTGTCACAGCTTAATAAGATGACTGGCTTGGTGTAGCATTCAGCCATCAATGTCAATAAGCACTCTTTGGCCACTTAGCAAGAAAGTAGCCATCTGCATTTAGGGACACTAGGGCCACAGCACAAGCCTTGCATCTGCTTAGGGCCTCATCTGGTGACTGCAGAATGAATTTTCACATCTGCACAACACCTGGACGTTCTAGAAGCCACAGTTAGCCCCAAATGAGTTTCTGAGTTCCAGATGGTTGAGGTTTCTGCAAGGTTTCCTGAAAGAACAAAATTTGACAAGAAAACAGAGTTGAACCAGCCAGGCCAGCTGTGTTTCACTCAGTAGCTTGAGAAATAATCACTTTTCCATGCCAACAGATGTTTTCCTTCTTATTTAAGTGTTTAACTGGCTCATCAGTTTCTTCCACCTGAAAAACAGGGATGACAATAATATTTGCAATGGACCTATAGTAACAGGGTTGGCGGGAGCATCCGAGATGACTTCTTTCAACTCACATACGCTACAGATGAGGATACTAAGGCCCAGTAGCCCCGGTGGGATGAATACCAGCCAGCTCCCAGTCCGCTAACCCCCTCCCTGAGTGCTTTCCACACCTACCACCACCCGTGTTCAAACTCATTGAGAACTTCAGAAGAAATGATAAAAGTCCCATGATCAAGACACAACTGTTGGTAGTGGCCATGTTACAACGTAATGTTCCATAGGAAATTCTTGGCATAAGTTAATCCAGGAGGCCGAGGACCGTAGCTCTGTTGGTAGAGCTTGCCTGGCATACACAAAGCCCTAGGTTTGATCTCTAACATCTCATAAACTAGGTGTGGTTAGTGTTTGACTCTAATACCAGCACTTGTGAGGTACTGACAGGAGGACCAGAATTTTAAAGTAATCCCCAGCTAATTTGAGACCAGCCTGGGACACCTACAATGCTATATCAAAGCAAACAAACACCCTCCCCCCCCCCGCCAAAGAAATTAATTTAGGAAAAGAAGAATTATGAAAACAAAGTTTATAATAGATCTAGGTTGAGGACATATGTCATTTCTGTAGACTGCTTTCTATTTTTCTGCATGTTTGCAGTTTTCATAATTAAATGCTTCCCCCAAAGTTCCAAAGAATAAATAGAAACATGTCCCTGTACATCCTAATCGTGACATTTTTGCTAAGAAAAGCTGGGGCTGGGAGGTGTAGCTCACGGTGATCTCATGTGCACAGGACGCAGGAGGCCCTGATTTCATTTCTACCCATGCCACAAAAACCAGCCAAGCAAACAGACACCATTTCACCAGAGATTCTTGTACTTGAATGTGCGTATGACTTAGCAAATTCAGAGCTGGAGATGTAGCTCAGTTTGCAGAGTGCATAAACACAAAGACCTGGTTCGAGCCCCAGCGTGTCACAGACTGTTCAGTACATCCATGATCCCAGCACTCTGGAGGTAGGAGCAGAAAGATCTTAGGTTCAAGGTCATTCTCTACTACAGAGGCAGCTAAACCAGCCACTCTCAAAACAAACAAAGGAACAAAGCAGCACATTCAATAGGAAGGCTACGACTGTTCTCTGTTTCTTGGATTGAATTTTTTTTTCAAGACAGGATTTCATGTAGCTCAAACTCTATACACAGCACAGGGGGCCCTTGAATTCCTGGTCCTCCTCCTGCTTACGGGTGAGAGCCACCACATCTGGCTTTGAGATCGGAATCAGAGCAAGCTCTCAGGTGAGAACCACACCATTTGTCCTTGGTTCACTCTTGGAATGTTAAGATGTTGGAGAATAAAAATATCAAGACTCCAGGCCTAGAAGAGAAAGGAAACTGCATGGCCTAACTGGAGATGACTCAGCTCCGGTGGAGAAACCCGAAAGTGACTATCAGACTAAGTTCTGAAACACCAGGCTAGACGTCCAGCTGCAGGTGACAAACAGAGCTGAGAACAGTCAAGCCACTCCTTGTTTACCTAAAGGCTCTAAGCCTACAAGGTAACACAGTGTTGAAATTCTAGAGCAAATAACAGCCTTCCACCCGTGGAAGCCATCAAAGAAACAATCTGTACTATATAAAAATGCTACGGGATAGGGCCATTTCACACACTATTTCTTTAAAAAAAATAATTTTTTTTTTCAAATTATGTCTCTGTGAGTCAGACATGGTAGTGTATCTCTTCAGTTCCAGCACTTGGGAGGCAGAAGCAGGTGGATCTCTATGAGTTTGAGGCCAGGCTGGTCTCTGTAGAAAACTCCAGGACAGCCATGGTTACATAGTAAGACCCCCATCTCAAAATGAATAATAAAAATAATAATTACATGTTTCTCTGCATATGTGGGCTCACACAAACCTCAGAACTCAGATATGGCGGTCAGAAGACAGTGTGCAGGAATCGGTCCTCTCCTCCCGTCCTGGGGGTGCCAGGGATCTAACTCAGGCGGTCAGGTTTGCTGGCAAGCCCCTTTACCTGCCTTCAGGCATTCTGACCTGCTGACCCCATTGTTAGCTTCACGGGAAGGGTGTGACTGGAGTAATAAACTCTAGAAGAGATCTTGATAAAAAGCAAACGAAGGGATGGAGTCATCCCTGTTCAAAATAAACAGGAGACCCATTTGGAGGCCCATGAGCCAATGATTTGGAAAGGCAAACCCTTCCTCTTCCCAAAAGGAGTTGTTTCACACTTGATTAGATTCAAGTGGCATTAACTGATCTTGAGGTTCTCATAGACTTCTCCCTTTTCTGGAAGACTCTTGAGTAAGAAGGGAGCTTACTAAATGCTTGTTCACCTGCTGGTTAATTCCCAGCCTCTTTCTATTGGCCTTTCACCATAAGCCACAGCCACAGGAGCTTTTTCTTCTTAAAGCCTCTTGGCTTAGGCCACCAGTGTGCCCTCACTTCTGGTCAATAATCCATCACTGGATGACCTGACCATACAAGAATTCCCGGGGGGGGGGGGGGGTTCATTTAAGAAGGAAGCTAAAACTAAAGTAGAAATCTAACTAGATTGTTTTCTTTTGGAGTTCCATGGAAAGACATTCTTTTGAGGATTTGCAAAAGGAGGCATGAACACTGCACTTCAAATTTTCACAGAACAGAAATGAGTGCATTAGGCCAGGGGGCTACTGCACAATTCTTCACATCATACCTCCAAGGAGACATTTAAGCCCCTTGTCTGCTGATTTTACTTTCTTTAACCAATGGGAAAAGGCAGACTAGAAGGCCAAACGATGGACTTGAACCACAGACTTCAGTAAAGATCCAAAGCTGAGACGCTACCCTTCTTCATCCTAAAGAAAGTGGCCCCGTGAGCTGGCCCAGGATGTCTATCTGAAGTCACTTTCCCAACTCGCTCTTTCTGAATCTCTCTCAGGAAGGAGGGCTGGAGAGACAGCCAAAGTGCCTGAGGTAGCTCAGCTGATAAGGTACTTGCTATGAAAGAATGAGGATGTGAGTTCAAACCCCAGAACCCACAAAAAGACCAGTGTGGCGCTGTGGGCTGCTCCTCCCAGCACACAGGTCCCTGGGGCTTTCTCACTGGCCAGCCAAACCAAACCAGCCAATTCCAGACCAGTGAAAGGCCCTGTCTCATAAGTCAAGTTGGGAAGCGTCCTGAGGAAAAACGTCTGGTCACACCCATGCAGCCCCAGACAGACATGCATCACCCAGGGACAGACTCACGTCACACAAATGTGCTCACAGAAAAGGAAAAGAGGGCAGGCACAGGCAAGGAGCTCTCCTCCCAGCAGCGGACGCAAGGGAGGGATATTTGACAGCCTAAGCATCCACTCACCTCAGCGAAAGGCACTGGGCCCCCAGCTCTACACATCTCAAAATGAGGGCCAGCTCCTCCATCATTGCACAGCTGACTGGGATAGAGCCCTATCTATCTGCTAGATAGACAGAGCAAGCACTTCCCCGGGCAGCCGAGCAAACCTCAGCCGCCAATCAACTTCACCAACAATTCACGTTCCCACCACACACACACACACACACACACACACACACACACTGTTGGTTGTTGTGATTCTAGGGGTTGAACCCAGACCCCCGACACATGCTAAGCGGGTGCTATTCCACCACCTACAGCCCTTGGGCCTAGCTATAAAGCAAGGCTTGCTAGCTGTATGGCTCTCCTTTAGTTTCCAGGCTTGCTCATGGCTAAGGGTAGGTAGAGAAAGGATGCGCACACAGGCTCTCGGCTGAGAGGCATGGGCTCAAGCCACCTGCGGATGTGCTGAGCAGTGTCTGAGTAACCTTGGGCTGGAAGGCCACCCCATCACCTGACCCTGGCTTCCCACAGACCTCCCTGTGGCCAAGCATCCTCCTAGAGAACCTTGAAAACAGCTGAAATAACAAGGAGGTTGGACAGACCTCGCTGGCACGGGGCTCTGTTGGTTTTCCAGAAACGAAGCTTCTGATGAAATGAGGCCAACAAAGACAAAGGAGAAAGGAGAAGTGAGTGTCTGATTGCAGAGCCCTGTTGTTTCACCAGCCAGCTCGGAGCATGGCCTATGCACTGGCAAGGGGCCAGGAGTCACATGGGGACTTACCCGGAGGGGCCCTGCACACCAGCTGTCCACATGTGGTCAAGGGTGGCTCTCCCAGGCACTCGGTCCCTGGCCCACCACGTGTGCTCTAGCACTGCCATCTCAGTCCCATGCACACGGCCATAAATGAAACAGACCAAGTCTCCATCCTTGCACACTCTGGCTCCCCCTCCAGACGCCGCTAGGGGAGTGGAGGATGGAGTAAGAGAAATGTAAGTGCTGTGAAGAAAAACCAAAGCAGAAAGAAAGCTGTCAGATGTGTAGGGTGGGCAGGTGCATAGTCAAAAAGGGGTTCAGGGTACTCCCACCCAGAAGGTGCTCTAAGGGTCTTAGGACATAAGGAAACAATAAGCCTGTGGGAAGGGTACCACAGACACAGAAACCAGGAAGGCCAAGATCTAGCGCAGGCCACACGCCATGAAGAAGCAAGTGTGAAGACATGTTTCCTAGCTTGCTTCCTATTGCTGTGATAAAGACCACGACCAAAAGCAACTTGGGGACGAAAGGGTTTATTTCACCTTATAGCTTGGTCTGAGGGAAGTTTGGGCAGGAACCTGGGGGAAGGAACAGAAGCAGAGGCCATGGAGGCACACTGCTAGGCTTGCTCTCTGTGGCTTGCTCAGCTTGCTTATTCCACCCAGGACCACCTGCCTGGGAACAGCACTGCCCACTGGCTGGGCCCTCACACATCAATCATTAATCAAGAAAATGCCCTCCACAGGCCAATCT